ACACTTTCCAGCAGCTGTGCAGCTGAGCTTCCTCTCCCTGTCTCTCCCCTGCTCTCTATGACTCAATGGGAAGTGCTCCCAGCACAGTGCCCCTTCTGGCTGCTTTTGGGAAAAGGGTGGAACACAGTTCAACAGTGATAGTGCTGCTGCAGCTTGTGTAGGACGACTCGGTGCTCCTGACTTCATTATCAATTTCAACGCCCCCGACTGCAGGTTTTGTCAGTTTTAAACTCTGAGTTTTAGTGAATTGAAATCTAAAAAGCAAAACGTGGGCAGAAAAAAGCAATCTACCTGTATTGGAGAATCTCTTTTAAATTCTAGATTTTAGTTCTATACAAATTGGAATTTAGACGGATAGTCAGCAAAGACTCTTTTATTGATGATTTATTGGATCAAGCAAGGATTAAATCCAGAAACCAAAATAGAGAAGCATTATTAAAGGCGACTCCTGGGAAGAACAATACCTTTGTAATTACAATTTCATAATGTCCAACCATTTTAAGAAAATTGTTCTTTCTAATTGGTTTATTTTACAACAGGACAGGGACTTTGGCCACTTATTCTGTGAACCACCTTTTTTACTTATCACATGGCGGTGAAACCAGAACCTCCTGTATCAAAGGGGGCAACTTTTTTGAAGAGTTAATGGGAAACTTTCCTGTTTAGATTGCAGTCACATTAATGCCTATGTATTTAGAATACGATGTCATAAAAGTCCCTGTTGGTGTAGTGTCTGGGTTTAAAAATAATTTCAGGAAGTATTACTTTACTGAGGGGGTAAATGGAATAGCCTTCCAGCTGGAGTGGTAGAGGTTAACATTGTAAAGTAGTTTAAGCATGCGTGGTTTAGACATAAAGCTATCCTAGCTATTAGATAAGGTCAGGGACGAATGAAAGTATTTCGAAAATTGGGCAGACTAGATGGGCCGAATGGTTATTATCTGTCGTCACATTCTATGTTTCTATGTCCCAATACTTTTGTCCATTTAGTGTATGTGTATATATCATTTGTGGAGAATGATATATATATACAGTTTTGATATATTTGAAGTATGAATATATAGTAGATCACTTTTAGATTGAGTTGTAATGTTAATTCATTTGCAAACAGTGATGCTGTGCAGCTCCTGGCTTGGATGTGTTCTAACAGCAGTTTCTATGGGAGCGATTGCGCTCGATGTGCGTCACGTATGACATCATTCCATCTCATGAGATCTCGCTTGGAGCAATGAAGCTGCGAACTTCAAGTTTGTGGGTGGAGTGTCATTTCATTCCTCCTATATATGCTGGTGATTGTATTTATGTGGTTAAGGACATTGTACATTGATAAAGAGACAGGGGTCCCAAAATGTTTGTTATTTAATGCTCTTCAATAAATGTATTGGAGTTTTAACAAGTGACCCTCATCAACTAAGCTGCGCTTTGTGCTTTCTCTATATTTTTGTGTTTCAAATTGGAGTTTAATGAGTATTAAGAAAACCACTTTTCACCTCTGTTAAGAGTTTTCCCTCAAAAAAAAGCTATGGATTTAATTTAATGTAATAGGTCACATTCTTACTGGAAACTCTGTGATTACAAAATAAAAACAATCACCTAACCTGGTGTAATAATGACTCATCAGAAGTCTAGTGGAACTCAAGCTTGTGCAATCTGAGCTGGGTGTATCACTGAGCGGTGGAGTTTTTTAGAACGACAAGCAGTTTGAGTTCATCACTGTGGTTCGTGATTGCGCACACCTGTTCAACTTACAAATTTTGCAAGAATTAAAAAAAAGGAAGCTGAATATTTTTCTCTCTCCTGTGCTGTGCACCATGCAAAAGCAAAACCACATCTGCTCTAACAGTTAACAGCTAACTATAACCTTTTTCCCTATTACATAATTGAATTTAACGTTTTTGAAGTGCATGGGTAGAAGACACATTCTGTCATTAAATAGAAGATAAGACCACATTTACATACCGTGCAGTGCCGTAGCGTATGGACGGTCATGAACTACATTTGTGTAATTAGTAATAACTCTAAGCATTGTGTAAGATAATTAGTGATTAGGAAGTCTGCCAGAGCACACCAGATCAAAAATATATATTTCTTTTTTAGATAACTTAATAAGGTCTGCAATGAATAATTAAACATTGTTTACATGAATCGTTATGTTAGCTGGTTATCACAGTATACTGAGACTGGATTCATTTCTGATTGTGATTTTATAAATATAGCTAATTAACACCAGTAAAGGTGCATTTCATGGGACATAATAGATCACTTTTGACATAGACAGTTTTTGTGTATATATAATTATTATTATTTCAATGGACAAATCATGTTTTAAAATGTCATATTGGCAAAGCGTTGACGTCTGTTGTGCAGTTATTCTCTCAAAGTAACAGGTAATAATGCATTGATTACCGCTGGGCAGTCTGGAGGTTCTAATTGTGGGCAGAACCAAGTTACATATGTCCAAATCTGAGATTAGTGGGAGTTACAGTTTACACATTACACAATTTAATTGTGGCAGCTGATATATTAAATTCCCACTAGTCTCAGACAGAATAGGGGCACATACATTACTCTAACACTGACCACGAGACAACCGCTAAACATTAACCCCTATACTACACAGTAACCACTACTATATTAACACTAACCATTAATCGCTACACTACCTTAATATTTAAAAAATCTAAACCCTAGCATAAAAATACAATGTAATAGCATGTAGAGTATATTATATAAATAGGTATAGATATATATTTTTATATATACACACCAATACACTGATCAGTCACAACATTAAAGCCATTGGCAGGTGAAGTGGGATATATTAGGAAGCGTGTGAACCATCAGTTCTTGAATGTCATGTTTTGGAAGCAGAACAAATGATTGAGTGAAAAGATCTGAGTGATTTAGGCCATGAGGAGCCAGCCTAGGCAGAACAGGGACATGTGAGTGTGAGGGTAGTGTATACAGAGGAATGTGGTGAAGTGGTCCTGGGACAGTGAGTGGAGTAGTAAGGGGGTAGATGAGTGGGGTAGTATAATTAGGTTGCCATCTTACACGATAGCAGCCATCTTAATTATCAGTTGGTTACAACTTGGTAATTGCTGGTTGCGCTCGGTATACCTGATTTTCAAGTGCTGTTTGCGGCCAGGGTATGGATAATAAAGCTGTCCTCTCTGCCCCCAGGGCTGAGGCCTTACAAGGTGGGGGTCTGCACCTGCAGGCCCAGCTGGCTCGTCTTCAGGTCTCTGCGACTGTTGCCATCTCCCCTCCCGGCGGTAGCGGAGGTTTCCAGAGGCGGACTCACCACTGGAACGTTTAGCTCTGGAGGGGGAAACTATGAGCCCTCCTGGGCTCAAGAGTGCAGGCCTGGCCTCCCGGATATGCCTGTCTGCACCCGCGAGGCTTGCTTCACCTCACTTGCGGTGATTATTTAATTTGTTTCCTGTCTCACTGAGAAACCAGAAAAATATTCTTACAAATCCTAACATGTACCTTTAAGGTCATAACATGTTTATCGATTTGCAAGTGATTTCTTGGCGAACCTTGAAATTACAAAACTAGTTAACTGTCTGACATTTTACAATATTATAATAACTAGTTACCAACCACTCTACATCCCACATTCAAGCCTTCCAATGTTAGTATCTATTAAAGCAACACAATATAGTCAGGAACACAAACGTGTATTCCTGACCCTATAGTGTTAAAACCACCTCTAGGTGGCTTGCCCCCCATGTCTCTTTAAAGGTAAGAAAACGTATATGGCCCCACCCCTGATCCCCCTCATTGACTGACATCATCTGACATCATCAGAACTGATGATCTCAGCCAATCCAATGCTTTCCCATATCAGGATCTTGGTCACTAGAGGTGTCACTATAGAGCAATGTAGACACTGACTTTTCTGTAAAATGCAGTATTTACAGCAAAAAGGGTGTAGGGACAGGCTATACTCACAATAACAACTAAATTAAGCTGTACTGGTGCTGGTGACTATAGTGTCCCTTTAAAGTTATAAATTATGTATACTTTATTTAAATATTATTTCCCATAATTCATAGCTGCAGTCAGTCCAATATTACAGTGAAATAACTTTTCTAATGTATGTATAGCATGTGATTGTGCTTATATAAAGTCACATTTTGTCAATGCACATTTGATATAGTTATAAGGCATGGTGTAATAAACATCCCAATCTATATATTCATGTCAGAGTTAAATTTCACAGCAAGTTAATGATACTGCAATATTATGTGTTAACACAGTATCTACTTTTAACCAACCTCATTAAAAATAACTAGATAGCATCCTTCACTAAACCCATAACACTAGATCCTTTTTAAATAATGTTTGAAACAGAATACTGAAAAAAAAGTAAATTTTCTGAAATTTACAGCATCTCAGTCCTTCAATCGAGAAAAGCATCTAAAACATTTTTAAACAGTTTTTCTTTATATTCAAGCCAAGTATTATATTATTAGTACTGTTATCATCCTATCCATCTTTAAATAGGTTAAACAGACTGGTGATAAGAATAGACAAGTACATGGGTTCGTTACAAACTCATCCCTATCCCTAGCCATTCCCTGAATTAGACCATCCCATGTGCTTTCTTTAATCTCTGGAATCTCACAGATCCTTCCCAACCCTCAGGATGTTTGGAAATGTTTGGATGTTATTTAATTGGGATTCAGCACCTCAACTGTTTTATTTTTAAAATATGGAGAGTGTGAAATTCTCAGCAGGGTTTATGCAAATGGTACAAACATTTAAAACAATACAAGAATGTGCTGAATTAGTATAGTTCAAAAAGTGATGGATCTATTTTTTGGGGGGGGATTTATTAAAGTATGTCCTAAAGAACTGGCGATATTTTAATTGATCTGTTATGTATGTATGACGACTTACATTTTTAGGTATAAAGTAAAGTTGATAGTAGTCATTTATGGTTCCAGATGGAAATTCGTTAATTCGTTAGACAAATGGCGTGCAAGCACTAAGAGTTAACGAGAAGTCAATTTTTCAACTCCTAAGTTCCAAATTCTGGCAAGTGTATAATTTGCCAGAATTTGGAACTTAGGAGTTGAAAAATTGAAATCTTTAGCTGATTTGGTGTTACTTTCCAACATAGCTATAGTAACAATTTTGCTTTAGTTTAAATTTTGCAATTTTTTTATTAATTTGCTGTAAATCAGTGTTTAGTAAATAAACTGCTTTGTGTTTAATACTTGCTTATTGGAATACTGGCACAATTTCATCTGTGAAAGGATTTTAACACTGTGACAAAGATATAACTTGATTTCCATTGTACGTGGTATAAATGGTCCAGTTAGTCTGCTGATGGTGGGGTAATGGGGTTGTGGGTGTTTTCTTGGAATACATTAGGCTTCTTAATACCAGTTGAGAATGGTTTAACAGAAACCTAAAGGCACCATAACAACTTCATCAGAATGAAGTTGCTATGGACTTAATAGGTCCTGGGACTGACTTACACTTAAGGGTTAAGCCATTATCGAACGCTTTAACCTCAACGTCTTGAATCCAGCGCCGGTTAGCTCTCCCCCTCTCTTTCTGCTTTTCTCCAAAGCTTGAAACAAGAAGCCTCAGATAAGGGTGGCACTGATTAGTGAACATACTTTTCTCAAGCCGTTTTCTGAATGGGGAGCTACCAACACTCTAAACATAGAGCTGAAGCTAGAAGTCAACCAGTGGTGCCAATGTCCGAGGCAGCCTAAGGTTTCCTGGTTCAAGCTATGGGTAAAAGCGGGAAGACCAAGGCATAGCTAACCCGTGCTGGATTGAAGACTTTGGGGTAATCCCCTAAAGGTAATTTGGTGCCAAGAGCCTCATAGAACCATAACAACTTAATTACAGGGAAGTTGTTATGGAGCTTGGAGTATTTCCTTAAATGCTACAGCCTACATTAGTTTTTTTGCTGACCATGTGTGTCCTTTTATGGTCATAGTCTATCCATCTTCTGGTGGCTTCATCCACATGTTATCTACTTCAAAACAACCTCAAAAAAAGCAACTTACAGTTCATCTGATGTGTCACAAAACATAATTGTTTTGAGCTGGTTCCATCTTGAATCTTTTATATTACATGGTTTTTGAATTCAGGGTTACTGTGTTCATGTTGGGATTACGAGAAAAGTTGGTTTTGATGTAGAAGTAGTTTAAAATATTGTAGTATTTTAAGTGCAGGTTATTTTGTCTTATGTTCATGTTAATAAACAGAGCTGCCTAAATTTTAACTTGACATTCATTTTAAAAAAAGGCCGCACCACACCTTATTGACAGTGGATTAGAATTAATGATCACGTTTTAATGGAATGATTGTTTTTCTGATGCCATTAATTTAGCCCACTGTACTAGCTATGCCTTGGATTGACGTTAGCTCTCACAGAACCTACTTAATCACTCAACTTTTAGGCTTTGTATTATATATTTATTTATTTATAAAATATTTTACCAGGAAGGATACATTGAGATTTCTCTCGTTTTCAAGTATGTCTTGGGTCTACAAAACATTGCAGTTACAATAGGGTACAATAAAATACAAAACAATATTAATACACAATATATACAAAATTTTACATGGAACAGGTAGGAAATATATAATCAACCATGACAGGTGCATTCTGTTTTGAGGTATGTAGAGAGGGATCTCTTAAAGGACTTTAGGCTTGGGGAAGATTTGAAAGTGTGCGGGAGGTCGTTCCATAATTGCGGTGCTCTGTAGGAAAAGGAGGATCGGGCTGCTCTCCTTTTCCTTCGATTAATTTCTTAAAAACTATTACAGTGAAACATAATAAAGCAAAGTGATCTGAACAAACATACACTATGAAAACCAGCCAGAAACAGTCAAAATATACTATTTAAGTTAAAGGCACACTTGATGCACCATAGTCATTACAGCCTACGGTATTAGTAATGATGTCAGGAGTACCTTGGTGCTCCCCCATTGTTCAAAAAGAGTTTAACTTCTTACACAGAGTCTGCCTCCACTACCATCTCCAGACAACTGGACTTTCCTAAGCAGGAACTTACCTTAGCTCTCCTGCAGAGCATAGTTAATTAACTGAGAGCATCGGCGAGCTGTAGTAGTTATGGTGCTCGGATTGTTCCTTTAATAGCCCTATTGCAAAACTATAAATTGTTGCTGAATATGTTGGTACAATATAAACAATAGGAACAAAAATAGTAGAAAAATAAAAAATTACAAGTTGAAGGTACTTTACTATTTGATTTAAAAGTTTCATTTTTCTAAGTATGGTTGAATCGATACTTGTATGATTTCAACAAAATCTTATTTTGGGAGTTCAGTTCAGAGAACTCCGCCTGAGTTCAGCAACTAGGGGGCGCTTCCAGTGCATTTTAATTTGCCCAAATACACAGTCTAGTCTACGGTCAAGATCACCCATGAGTTACTTAGAGTTATACGAATACCCTAATAGGTAACCTTAAAGCTTTTATCTGAGAAATGCCATCACTTTCAGTGTGTTTAACATGAATGTTTTAGTTTCCTTTTGAGTTATTTATGTGAAACTCTTAAAATAAAAATAATAAGAAAAAAATGTCATGGGTAATGGGTGTCAATTTCATGGATAATTAGTACATTGACTCCTATGTCTTAACGGGATACTGTAGGGCCAGAAATAAAAAGCTGTATCCCTTGCACTACCGCTCCCCCTGCCTCCCCTCTCCTTCCCACCTCTTCCCCCTTGCCCCGGGTAAATAATGGGATTTGCCTCTGCGCTGGGTCGAAGCTTCTCATCATCCTTCGTCCTTCAATGAGCGGGGTATAAGGCGCATTAGACCTCCTCATAGAAATGCTTTAATAGGGTGAAAAATCTGACACTGGAGGTCCTCATGCAGAGCATGAGGACGGTCTGTTTCAATTCGGGAAGCCCTCTAGTGGCTTTCTGGTAGACAGCCACTAAGGGCAGACTTAGAGATGCAATGTAAACATTGCAGTTTCTATGGAACTGCAATGTGTTACATTGCAGCACTAAGTGCAAAAGTGTCAGTGCACCCAGACCACTTCAATCATCTAAAGTGGTCTGTGTGCCTACAGTGTCCCTTTAAGCAAAACAAACCAGAAAAAATAAACACAAATGTTATTAAGTAGGTATATATTAAACCTGCTATATGTCTTATAAACATGTTAACACAACAAAGCGCTTTATTGAAAAAGTCAAAGTAGTTTAACTGATAGGTCCTTGTGAACACTGCTACTTCAAAGTGCTATCAAAAATGATGTATGTAGTATTAACTTTTATTTTTCAAGAATACAACATTTTGTTGAGCATTAAATTTTGAATCTGTTCAATATGTCTTGAGCTGAGACTTTGGAACGCTGTTTGACTCTCATCCAACTCGGAATACTTGAAAAATGTAAAACATTGCAACAATTTAAATCATTCTATATACTGCTCATGGTGATTTAAAATAATTGAAGCTGTTCAGATTTTTTATGTGCCCTTGAATTTACAAATGTTCATAGCTTTGAGCATGTGCAGTGATTTCAAATCATCAGAGCTCAACAAATTTATCAGATTTTTTCAAGCCTGTCACTGATGGGTACTTTGGATTTTTGGCCTACACAATGATTTAAAATGATCAAAGTACCAAGCATAATTCAAACTAAGATTGTATTTTTTTTTTTAGATTTTGCTGCTATTTTTTTCATTTATGGTCATTTATGCTATTAATTAACACGGAATAATACATTTTTTTCATTGTGTTATATTTTGTTAATAATGTAAAAAATTGTTATTTAAGTGCAGAAATGTTTGCTTTAATAGTATCAAGCAATTTAAACTAACACTTAACATCTGAAGCTTTGAGAAATAAAGATATAGATAAAAAAAAGGGGGCGGTCAGGCGGCAGAGAAACTAGAGCCCTGTTTAGCCTGCCACCTTGTTACAAATTGGGATCCCATGTTTTGACTCTGTTTAATAACCCATAATATTATTTGTAAATAATTGAAACTAGGCCTAATCAAAAGTTATGACACATTCATGAAAGCCTTCTGTTAGTGGTCCATGGTTTTGCTTACCAACATACGAAAAGTTCAGTTTTCCAACGAGATGACATTGGAGAGATACGTCTTCTCATTTATCTGCAATTTATCTTCTTATTCTTTTGGAACACTGGCTGCCTCATTAAGGATAGTGTCAATGATTCCCTCATGCCTTTAATAAGGAAATACATTATTTAATATACCTTTACATTGTCAATATTAGTTTTATTTTTTGGAAATAATTTGAAATACACCATTGACATCTTTACTATAATTTATCATGATAAAAATGTTTCAAACATTTTTGCATTGGATAATTAGGATATTAATATCTGTGCCTCTTTTTATAGATTGTATCAAATAATTAACTCCCGCATACTGCGTGTATAGATGATTGAGATCACCTGCCGTGTTTGTACATCAGATCCTTTTTATTCAATCAGAAATAAATTTGGATTCGCCAGTGAATTTTTTTTTCCCTATAAAATTACCTGCTTAGACATGTTTGTAATAATTAGAATTTCAAGTCTTGTTAAGATTCATAGTTTTGCTGTAAGTGAAAATGCATGCGATGCAAAAATATGCCACAAAGAGTTGCAAAAATTATCATTAGTTTGCTGTGCTACCAGATACCCAAGGAGGGGGCTGACACTTTTTTTTTTGAAAATAAAGTCAGATGTCATTTTCACATTGGGCTATAAAAATAGAAAATACCATACTGTACGTTGCACATTTCAAAATGCTCTTGACAGACGAAGCACTTATGTTGAATAATATATGCACAACAAATGCTCCTAAGGTTTGAAAAATTATGCGAGGGTCTCTGTACATGAGTTATTTAACATTAACTCGACCCTATAACATTGATCTAAACCATGATTAGTCCACCTGCTGGAATTTATGGCCAGCTTATAAATATATCACATAGGTAATAAAGGGACAGGCTGTATCGATTTGAGACTGAAAAATGTTTTGTAGGGTAATCGGTGCGTGTCTGCGTTAACACTTAGATGAACAAATGGACTCTAAAGGGGGATAGGTGAAAATCATAGCAAACAGAAACTACTCAGTCTTAT